GAACTATTCTGTTATTTGTTGCGCGCAGTTCGAATCATATCGGTACATTCTCTACAGCAACGGTTCACTGCTAATGATGGCGCGCAAATCGACGCGACTCTCAGAAAAGGAAAATTCTTCATGTATGAAACAGTGTAACCAAGCAAAAGTAAGACCATGTGTTTTTAATTTTTCTAAATAACAGGGTTTCATGTTCTTGACTATGTTGTTATAACGGCCAATGAAACTAACAATCTGACCTCTAGTTTTATCGAATGCTCTATCAAGGACTTTCTTGCTAAAGCTGAGTTTTTCATTGTTTCAAGCATAGTTTACCAGATGACCATCTAAGACTAGGAATACTCTTTAGAAAATTTGTTCGGAAGGATTAAAAATACGTCAGTCGTTATTTAGACTGCTACTACGACTGGACGAAGAGGTCGGAAACGCAAGGTTGTTGAAGACGAAGTCACTCCAACAAAAGCATTGAAGACTCCTAGAAGGGGTTAGATCCTTTATGAGAGCTCTGTCAAAGGTTTAAACTTTCATGCGGTAATTTAGGTCGTACAGCTCATGCCAAAGTGAAGCTTTCATACTCTGACTTTGTTTCTCTTGAAATAGGAGATCGGGTCCTGTCTTGCGGTGAAGGTGAGCAACTCGGTCACCCTGGACGCACTACAACAAAGAAGCCCAGGAAAGTGGACATCATAGAGGATGAAGGCTTACAGATTGTTCAGGTTGGTGTGGCTTAAGCATCAATAGTGATTTCTTCTAGCGTGTTTTCAATTTTGTTTTCTTCCACCCATTCAGAATAATCTCCTTAAGGTGGTGGCTGGTGGCGTTCATTCTGCCCTTTTGACTGCTGATGGAGATGTTTACATGTGTGGAATTAACGAACAAGGAACCGTCCCTGCTATCGGTCTGGTTTTAAACAGCGGAAATAGCGAACTATGACCCACCTTTCTTTTTTCCTAAATTAGTCCTCCAAGTTTGAACCAAGTTCTCATTGAGCAATGTGAAGAGGTATTCGCTTCTTAGCTCGAAAGGCAGATGATTTTCATGAGCAGAGATGCACGTAACATTAACGTTTTTAGAGATTTAAGAAAAATTCAAGTCAAATGTTAACGTTATCAGTCTATTCCTATGCAAATACATAGAAACGCAGAGCTCTTAGCTGCAGAGCACAAGTGCAGTATAGTAAGAGCTTACTCCCTTCAAGGAAGAAGACAAGTAAGGTACTTTCTCAGCATCCAACATTGATAGCTTCAATGTTCCTTCAAAATACTTTGATGGCCTGGCTTTGGATGA